TGTGCAAAGTGGCAGCTTCTGGGTCCTCCGTTAGGGGAAAGTCTTCGTATGGGCTCGCAACACCACCGCCGAACAATATTTTGTGTGTCAATTCGGTTTGTCCTGGAAGAGGAGAGAAGGGGACTCTGCCGCCTGCCTTGCCAGGAGACCCTCTGGAGCTTCCTCAGGGTGGGAGAGGAGCAGGCCAAGATGGGGGAGGGAGAAGCACAGCGCCTGATGGGAAGCAGGACCTCTTGGGCAGCCCAGAGGGCGAATTGTGCAGCAATTAACACTTTTCTTGGGTTAGGCCGCCATACCTTGAAGGAGGCAGGGCGGGGGGGGGTGTCTCCCAGACAGAAAAGGGTGAGCCCTTTCCTAGACAAAAACCACAAGGCTTCAGCTGGCTGGCATCCCGGAATCTCTCTCTGGAAGCGAAGTGCTGGCTTTCCTTTGGCAGCAGATTGAAGGAATTCAAGCCAGATGCACTCTGGCTTTAAAGCAGGGGTAGTCAACCTTGGCTCTTTTATGACTCGTGGACCTTCAATTCCCAGAATTCCTGAGCCAGCTTAGCTGGCTCAGGAATTCTGGGAGTTGAAGTCCACGAGTCATAAAAGAGCCAAGGTTGACTACCCCTGCTTTAAAGCATTCTCCTTCCTCCTGGCTTCTGACCTTGGGCTTCCTTTGGCTCACCCCCCCACACACTCCCCACACCTTGGCGCATCTCCCTTCCACTAAGCTGCACTTCCCTTCTGGATAGCAAGACCCACCCCCCAGGAGACCCAAGACCCTGCTCTCCCAGAGTTTGGCCATCTGACCACCTCTGACCAAGAAGAGCTCCTCCAGACCCTTCAGCCAGCCTTGGCCCTCTCCGGGCACCACCATCAAACACTAAAGATGCCCTCCTTCCCCCCCACCCCAGTCAAGCTGCCCGCCTGAGATGGGAGTTGTGATCTGTTCCAGACAAAGCCCAGGTGCCCTCTGGCATCTCTGGAGCAGAAGGCACTTTGGGGGGGGGTGTTTCTCTGGGCACCCACGCTAAGGAAGCCTGAAGCCCTTCCACGCTGCTGGGTTGAGGGTACAGAGCCCAGAAACCAGTGGGCCATTGGCTTATTTGGGGTGGGTGGGTTGAATTGGTCGTTGGCCAGAAACTGGGGATGTAGAAAGGAAAAGAGGGTCGCGACATACAAGGGAGAGAGAGCACCGCTGCTGTTCCAGGCTGGCTGGTGTCACTCGGGTCCGTCCTCCAGGCCCTGGCTTTTTTTTTTTTTTCAAAAAAAGGCTGCTTCGAACAAGCGCCGAGGAAAAAAGGCAGCGCAAGCGAGGGCTCGGTAAGTCGTCTCCGCCGCGTCCCCGTTCCCGCGGGAGAGGCAGCCGCGTCCTCCCTCCGACCGCTTCGCCTCGCTCGGTGCGCTGCGCTGCGCCCAAAGGGGCTCCTGCTGGGATGCGGGGAAAGCGGGACCGCGGCGCAGCCCCCTCCTGGCCGAGCCACGTCCCGCTCCGGCCGGCCCGTCCGTCCCCCCCCCCGGGCGGGCTGTCATCCCCGTCCCCTTCCCCTCCGTGCCACAATGGACTCTCCCGTGACTGGAGGGGCGCAGCAACCTCTGCGCTCAGGCTCCGCCGCCGCCGCTGCTCCCCCTGCGTCTCTCTGGCGGTTGCAGCAGCGGCGGCGTGCAGCGGCGGCGGCGGGAGCGAGCGAGCGCCTGCCTACCTACCTACCTATCATACCTGCCTGCCTGCCTGCGAACGGGCTGGGTACCGCGGGAGCAAGGTGAGCCAAAGGCAGAGCTGGGGACGGGCGCGGGGGATGCCAGCGCCGTTCCTCCCTTCGTGTGGCCATTTTGTCCTAGGAAAGCTTGGCCTGCCTCCCCGCGTCTTGTAGCCCCTTCCCCCCCCCCGGGCTCCCATTGCCGGCCTTGGCCGGGGAAGGATTGCGGGACGGTCCCCGAGGCGATGCTCCGCCACCGCCGGGGCTGCGCAGAGGAAGAGAGCCGTAAGGGGATGGCGCTGGCGGGAGAGAAAGTGACCTTGGATGCCGGGGTGGGGGTGGGGGCTCCATCATCACCTAGCCGGCTTTTCTTTAGGCCGACTGAATAATTGGGAGGGGGGGGGGCAAGCGGGCTCCCCCCCCCTCCGTCCAAAGCGCACGAAGTCTGCCGTCTCTCTGGAGCAGCCGAGGCGGAGGATGGGTTCCGTCGGTGCTGCAAATTAAAAATAGGTTCCGAGCGCGCGGGGGAGGGGGGGGAAAGAGGGGAATGGTGGTTATGAAAGAAGCCTCTCTCCCTGGTCTTCGAGCCCCCCCCCCCCCCACTCAAAGGACGGAAAGGAAGAGGTGGGCTCGGGAGCCCCACATTTCCTCAGATCGGCCGATCGCTTGCTCGCCCCGACAGGATCCCAGCCCCAGCCCCAATCGACTGGACTACATTCCCCATAGCTCACAGCCGGCGCGATGCCCGTTCGGAATCGTGGGACCCGAGACGTAGTCTTTGCGTATTTAAATAGATTTAATGAGCGAATCGAGGGGGTTTTCGAGCGGGCGAGGGCTTCCCGCCACGCTGGCGAGGCAGCTGCCGCGCCGGATCGCTGGGGGTCTCCCGCTCCTGCCGGCTTCGCTCGGGCTCCGCGAGAGGCTGGGGCTGGGCTGGGTCCCTCTTTGGCCGGGCTGAGACCGGCGTTGCCGGCGAGGAACGCGGGCGAGCCTTCCCCAGCTGTAGGTCTGCAGTTCCGGGGGAGTGGGGGGGCTCCTTCCCTGCCAGGTTGGTACAACGGAGCTCCCTCCGCGCCCGGATCGCGTGTTTTGGTTCATTGTTGGGGGCAAACGTTGGAAGGAGGCCGCGAAAATGCCAGGGCGGGGAGGTGCGCAAGCTCCAGGTTGCGCGAATGTGGCGAGGGATCCTGAGCCCCGCGCAAGGCCGAACAAGCGTTCCCTCTTCGCTTAGAAGGCGGCCCCTGGAATCCGGGCCGAGTCGTGTGGGCAAGGGCGCTCTGTACGCGCTCAGAATGCGGCTACTAGGTAAACGAAGCCCCGGCACGGTACTGGAAGGGGGAGGGGGTCGGTCGGGTGGAAACGGCGCTGGAAGAAACGGTTCCTCCCTCCCCCCCCCCCCTTTTGGAAAAATCTGCTCATTTGGGTGGAGCTATGGAAATGCCATCGATGCCGTTCCCGACCCTTTCGGTCAACTGCAGGGAACCAAAAAACGGGCAGAAATCCGAGGCCTTTGGGGAGCCGAAGCGCGAGCTGTGGCTGGAGGGATCCGGTTCCCTTCCCCTTTCTAGGCTGATAAGGCGGCAGGTCCGCGGCTTCCCCTCGGCTGCGAGCCCCCCTCGGCTGCCTCCTAGGTAAGGCCGAGGCGGGGACAGGTGATCCCCTTCGCCTCCCTCACCGACCACCGAGGGCAGCTGAAATGCCTCGCAACCCCGCAGCAAGTTCCGCCGAGCCCGGCACGGGCCGACCTGATGGGGATGGGAGTTTGTAGTCGGGCAGGTTTGGAGGGAGACAGGAGGTCTTGCTGTGGGTTGCATGGCTGCTTCAGTGCCCCCCCCCCCCGCTCCTTCCTGGGCGAGAAAGAAAAGGGGGTCTGGGGGATGCTTCCACCTCCCCCGTTTGTTGAGAGAGAGAAATAACCTTTATTGTTATTGTTTTTTTCCTGTGGGCACAATGGCACACATTAAACATGAAATTTAGTTGCTTTCTCTGAAAGCGTACACATACATATTTTAAACATCCTATATATAACATATGTATAAGACCTACACCCTTACATATAAGTAACATATAAATAATCCAGGATCCACTGAAGGAGGCCCCAGCTCCCCTTTGAAGGGCAATGCCATAAAGCGGAGGCAAAAGAGATGACATTTCCTGTGGGAAATGTGCATTGTTTGTTTGTCCTTCGATCACAAACGGATGCAAAAGCAAATAAAAAAATCTGGGCTGGAAAGATACGAAAGTGAGGCCAAACAAGTGAGGCTCTGAGCTTCACAAATTAGAAAGAGGATCTCTACTGATCCCTGGGCTTGCCAGATATAAGCCTTGGGGAACCACCATTCATTCGCCCCCTGGTTCTCAGCCCATCTCTCTCCTGCTTCCAGAGATTAAAAATAGCCTGCTGTGTCCCCTGGGGTGTGGGTGTATGCTTCTGGAGGGTTCTGCCAGCTTGGACAACGAGGAAGGATCCATCGTAAGGCCCCTCGGCTTTGAGTTTCCTTGTCTGGCGGTGGAGAGGGAAGGACATGGGGCTCATTTGGGAGCAGCGCGGGGGTGGTGGTGTCACCGACTGATCGCCTCGGCTACCTGCATTGAACAAGAGTTTCAATCGGTGGCCCTTGTTTGTTTGTTTGTTTAAACGTGTGCCTTCAAGTCACTCCTGATTCCTGGCAAACCGGCTGCAAACTCTGGCTCTGGAAAGCCTTGGGGTCTCCCAAGTGGGACGTGTGGCACAAGCTCCCTCATTGCACGTGTGTGATTGCTGAGCAGGTGGGAGGCCCGGATAAGATGGCAATGCCTGCACAGGACCCGCTTCCTCAGTACTCCCCTCTCACCCAGAATGGTCCCACCCAAGAGGGAGGGCTGGCTGTGCAGGGGGTGAGTCAAGCCGGAGACGGGGTGGGGCGGGGTGATGAGCTGGAAAGACATCCAAGGCAGCGGTGGGGGGTTTCCATTGGCTGGTTCTCTTCCTCGGTGCCTCGACTTCTTTTACACTCTTCCACTGAACCCTGTCCCCATCTTGTCCGTTGGGTCACCTGACCCGCCCTTTGATGTCCGTTGGGCTTCCACCTGACCCTATGTCTCCTTCCTTCGCAGGACCGCTCTCAGTCAGCCCAGTGGAGGCCCCTCTGCATCGCTCTCCAGGGCTCAGGCACATGGGTCGCCACCCGCAAAGAGCTGGTCCTTGAAGGGGGAGCGTCTGCCAAAAGGAGGAGCTGCCTGCCTTGCCGGTGGGTGCTGAATACGGTGCCTCCCGCCCAGCCGCCTGCGCCTTCCTCCCCCTTTCATCTCCAGGCCCAAAGGGCTGGTGGGAGCCATGGACGAAGGCTTTAGAGACCGGACCGCCTTCATCCGCGGCGCAAAGGACATCGCCAAGGAGGTGAAGAAGCAGGCGTCCAAGAAGGTGGGCAAGGGGGTGGACCGCGTGCAGGACGAGTACACCAAGCGCGCCTACGCTCGCTTTGAGGAAGAGGACGATGACGACTATCAGCCCCAAGACGGATACTACCGTGGGGAGCCCTCGGCCGACGAGGAAGGGGCCTCCAGCGACGCCACGGAAGGCCACGATGAAGACGACGAGGTCTACGAGGGGGAGTACCAGGGGATCCCCCGGAATGATTCCCTGAAGGGGGGAGACCGGCTGACGGCCAGCCCGGAGGCAGCCAGCGAGTTCAGAGACTTCGATGACCTGGAAGGAGAGAAGAAGAAGGAGAAGGAGGAGCTGTCTCAGCAGTATGAGCTGATTCTGCAAGAGTGCGGACACGGGAAATTCCAGTGGACGCTCTACTTTGTGCTCGGACTGGCCCTCATGGCTGACGGAGTGGAGATTTTTGTGGTCGGCTTTGTCCTCCCCAGTGCCGAGAAGGACATGTGCCTGTCAGACTCCAATAAAGGCATGCTGGGTAAGTCCCCAGGAAGGCCGTGGTGATTTAGTGGGGAATTAGTGGGGGCTGGCCCGATAATGTGTTTGTGGTTGTAGACCCAGGGTTTTTTTTTAAATTTCAGAAGACAATAGATGAGCATGGTTAACTTTCCCAACCCCCTCTTGGAGGCCTAGAGCTTCACCCAGGATTATAAAAAAGAAGGGAGATGAGGCTTTCTTGTAGAATTGAGATGAAATAGGTTTGTTTTTTTGAACAAAAACAATCCTTATTTATTGCTTGATAAAAGGTTTACCTTCACCCACATATACTTTTACCAAGAGTGATTCCCAGTTGAGGAATATTTGCACGGACCTTGCAGCTGAGGAAAGAGGAGTAATAATTTTAGCAAGAAATTTGCAGCCCTAGAGGAAGTCACACCAGTTCACGTGGAATGAGTTGTGGAGTCGGCACGGCTAATTTCCTGGCTGGCAGAAAATATTTGTAGCCAACGTTCAGATTAGATAGTGCTCCCTCGCCACCAGTACGGCCTTTATGGGATCAGACAGATCGAGAGCACAGTTAAGGCTCTGACCACTCGGTGCACAGGCCTCTGGGACAGAGCTGAGATTCCATAGAAACCGATTCTGTAGAGCTGCTGTGTTTGCAAGTGATGGCACCACTTTGGAATTTGGGATTGTAAGACTGCTCTGCGTTGGATGCAAGTAGGCAGATTCCCTGCCCATGAAAAACTAACATAGCAGGGAGGACAGTGCTGTAAGTTTTCATTTTTTCCTGAAATATTAGCTCTCGGTATTCTTTAATTTTACTAATAAACCATGCCATTAGGGCCACCAGATAGTTTTTTTTTTGGGGGGGGAGTTAAATACATTTATTTATTTATTATTTAAATTTATATACTGCCCTATCTCCCTTACGGGACTCAGGGCGGTGAACAGGCAATAATAAAAATCACAATAAATATTAAATAAAAAGCCTGCTCTAAAATACCCCATATAAAACCCCCTACCAAAACACAATCAAAACTACGCCAGGCCAGCCGCATGGAATAGATGGGTTTTCAAGGCTCATGGAGGAAATGACTGCTGTCCACACACAGGCCGAGATCAAGGTGATCAGGGTCCACCCATCCAGCTGGCTGAGCTCCCACCGGTGATCTGTGCCGGTGGGATCCTTGGCCCGATCCAGCAGGATCTGCTCTGCTTAGCATTGTACATTTCCGGGCATCTCTCTGTTGAAGTAACCTCACCCGGTTTCTCCCCTAAGACACAGGTAAACTTGTTTCTTGTGTGCTTTTTTTCCGTCGTTGAGAGGGGGTCCGTCACTGAGGCTCATGTCTCCCCCCGTAGTAGAGAACTTTCCTTACCTTCGGGGAACCGACGACGTCCTTGTCGCCGAGCGACCGTCGAGATACTGAGTCAGCCCCTGTGTCGACGACGACGACGTGCTGTTGGTGACTCATCTTCCCCTTCTCCATCTTAGTGGCTCTGTGCAGAGACCAGCCCCCTCCCCAGCTTATCTCCTTGCTGCTTTGGGGCGCTGCAAGGAGGCTGGCGGGGGTGGGCAGGAGGGGAGAGCGCAGCAGAATTAAATTCCCCAGAAAGGAAGAGCGGGGAGGAAGCCTGGGGTGTGTGTGTGAGAAATCTGGGGGGTGTGTGTGTGTGAAGCTTTTGAGGCAATAGCAGAGCCAGCTTTCCATGCGACACCACTGCAGTGCGGCAGAGCCAGCCTTCCTCCCCATTTCTGGTGGGGAAAGGTCGGGCAGGAGTGGGGCAGCAAAGCTCCACTTCCTTCTAATTTGGGCCTTGCAGGTCTGCCGGGCCCTTTTCCACCGCTGTGGGTCTCATAAGCTCTGCCACTGACGAGGCTGCCTTCCGAAGGCCTTGGGCAGCTTCCGTTGGCCGGGACTCTCTGACAGCCAGGATGGTTGGAGAAGACGGGCACCGAGGCCTCAGCAAAGGGTGGGAGAGGCTGCCCGGAGGGTGCATTGACCCAGTAAGCAGAGCAAGGCCTGTCCGGGACCACACGGTGGCTTCTTGAGGGCTGGTGCCTCCAGTGAACATTCAAATAGCCCATCAAGGTGCTCATGGGGGGGTATCTCCCCTCCTAGCTCCTGGTCACTCCAACACTGGCTCAAGCCTGGAGCCATTTGGTCAACTGTCTGACCGCTCTAAAAGCCAGACACCCAACCCCCCGTCCAGTTCCTCCCTGAAAAAGTGCAGGTGAAGCCACGGAGGGGCAGGGGTGCCTCTCCACCAGGGAGCAGCGTAGAGACCCACCCCAAGGGTGAGACGGAGCCATTGTCTCACAGCAGTGGAGATGCTGCCAGAAGCCCTCTGGCCCTTAGAGCCCAGGCCAGGCCAGCTGAGTGTCCTGCAGGAGGCACAATTGACCGGATGTTGGAGAGGTTAACTCTGGACCGCCAGCAGGTGGAAAGAGTCCCCAGCCACTGAGCATGTTCTGGAAGCCACAGGGCACCTTCCCCTCCTGTCCCTCAGCCTGGGTCACCAGCTGGGTTGGTGTTAATGCAAGCCCCTCCCTCCCTCAATAGTGCCAGGCTCTATCTGACTGCCAATCCTTTCCTCAAGAATGAACAGAGGATTGCCAAGCTCCCTCCAGAACATGGCTGCTCTGCTATAACTCCTGTCTCCGTCTCCTCTTCCTCCTCCTCCTTTCTCTCTCCTCCTGCTGTTTCCCTCCTCCAGGCCTGATTGTCTACCTGGGAATGATGGTGGGTGCCTTCCTGTGGGGCGGCCTGGCAGACCGGCTGGGGCGCAGGCAGTGCCTGCTGATGTCGCTCTCGGTCAACAGCGTCTTTGCCTTCTTCTCCTCCTTCGTGCAGGGCTACGGCACTTTCCTCTTCTGCCGGCTGCTCTCTGGTGTGGGGTAAGGGGACCCTGGGGGCTTCAGTCTGGGCACAGCCCGCCTTTTCTCCCATCCTGAGGCCAGGGATGGCCTTCAAGGGCAAGGGCGCTATGGGCATCCCCCCCCAGCAGAACAGAGCAGCGTGTCCGAGGGCAGCCGGGGCCGGCTGAGGTTTGCAAAGACACTGAGGTGCAACTGGAAGGCATCTCCGCTGGTCCCAGTGCAGGGGCTCCGGGAAAGGAACGGGGCTGCCCGGGTCGTTTTGGCCAGGAGGGTGGCGGGGGTCTCCCCGTCCCTCTTCTGAAATTGCTCTCTCCCCTCCCAGCATTGGGGGGTCCATCCCCATCGTTTTCTCCTACTACTCGGAGTTCCTGGCCCAGGAGAAGCGTGGCGAGCACCTCAGCTGGCTCTGCATGTTCTGGATGATTGGCGGCATCTACGCCTCTGCCATGGCCTGGGCCATCATCCCCCATTACGGTGAGTCCCCGAGGGCAGGGGCAAAGAAAGGACCAGGACGTCCGCAGACCCACGTGGGGCTGAACCCTTTCCAGTTTGGCTGACAGTGGGATTTCCTCTTGGCCCTACGGAAACTGGTCCTCGTTTGTACACGTTGACCCATCTGTCCTCCCACGTTGGGCAGTGTCCCAACCCAGCAAGCAGCAGGGTTGGTCCCCAATCTGTAGGAGTCTGCCAGGTGTGCCCACATGGGGTTTGGAAGCTGGGGAGGAGAGCCAAGGTTCGGCCGTTGTTGCTCCCGATAGGCTGGAGTTGTAGGCTTCCATGGCTCAGACTTTGGGGGGGGGGAGGAGAGTGTTCATAGGCAGCGGACATTCTCCTTTTGTAAAGCCCTCTTCTCCATCATCCCCCCCCCCGTCGCTCAGGGTGGAGCTTCCAAATGGGATCCGCCTACCAGTTCCACAGCTGGCGCGTCTTCGTCTTGGTCTGCGCCTTTCCGTCGGTCTTTGCCATCGGGGCCCTCACCACCATGCCGGAAAGCCCCCGCTTCTTCCTGGAAGTAAGAAGACCCCGGTGCCTCCTTTCAAGGGGTGGAGAGGGCTGCTAGATGCCCGCAGAGCGAGCCCTAGGCCGGAGCGAGCCCTAGGCTGCTTCCCCGTTGCCTGTCCCCCAGCAGCCGATGCGGGGAGGGTCCAAGAGCTGAGCCTCCGAGGGGTGAGGGGCAGAGGAAGATTTTTGGGGAGCAAACGGGTAGACACCCCCATGTTTCTCTCTTTCTAGAACGGCAAGCATGACGAGGCCTGGATGGTTCTGAAGCAGGTCCATGACACCAACATGAGGGCAAAAGGCCACCCTGAACGGGTCTTCTCGGTAGGAACCCTTCTTTTTCCTCCTACCTCCTCCTGTTGACCTGCCCACCACCAGGTCTCTGCATCTGTGAGCAGGGACACCCCTCTGCTACTCTCTCGGCTAGGGGGGGCTCTGGATGACTTTCAAGTTTCACATTCCATTGGCAGGTGACCCACATCAAGACAATCAAACAGGAGGACGAATTGGTCGAGATCCAGTCGGACACAGGGACCTGGTACCGGCGCTGGATGGTCCGCTTCCTGAATCTTTCTCAGCAGGTCAGTTGTCCAGGGTGGGGGCTGGGGGGGGAGGGTTTGTGGGACTGCTGGGTTCCCTTCATGGGAGCCGTGCTGGGCAACCACACCAGGCAGGGGAAGCTGCAGTTCACCTGCGGCCTCTACAAAAGGCTTTCAGGGCAGGGACCGCCTCCCAAAGGATCTGCCCAAGCCCCTAGCGCCCCTGGCTGCATCCCAGACCCGGGAAGCTCCAAGCGCCTCCCCTCCCCTCCCACAGGTCTGGGCAAACTTCCACCAGTGCTTTGCTCCCGAGTATCGTCGGGTCACGTTGATGATGATGGCGGTCTGGTTCACCATGTCCTTCAGGTGAGCCACTCTGGGGGAGAGCCAGGCGACCTGGCGCTGGATCCACAGATCTCCCTCGAGGGAGGGGAGGGAGAGAGGAAGGGAGGTGCACCGGTCCCTTCTCTGAAAAACAAGAGGGGCCCAAACCTCTGAGATGATTGGCAGGGTTCCTAGAATGAAATGTTGAATTGACATTCACGGAGCCACGAGGATCGAGCCCCTAGTCTGTGCGGGGATGCAAAGAGTAACACTGTTAAGCCTTTAAGTAACAAAGAGCAAACCTCACATCGCTCCCGCCCACGAGCCACACCGCCAGAGACAGTACAAGCCACGGCCACGTTGGAGCCCACCAAGGTCCTCGCCCAGTGGGGGATCCTGGGAGTCGTCGCCCCGACGCCCTTCAAGTTGGGAAGAAGGGTGTTCTGGGAAACCAGCCTTTCTCTCCAGTTGAGGGTCCTCCAAACCTTTCTGGTTCTTTCTCTCCCCTCCTCCTCCACCACCTACCTTGGCCACCGGGCAGCTACTACGGCCTGACCGTCTGGTTCCCAGACATGATTAAGCACCTCCAGAATGTGGAATATGCCTCCCGCACAAAAGTGTTTAACAACGAGACGTTCAGACACATCACCTTCAACTTCACCCTGGAGAACCAGATCCACCGCCGGGGGGAATACTTCAATGACAAGTAGGTGACGCTCTGCTTCAGAGGCTGGCCCTGTGACCAGTACCCCCCCCGCCGGGGTGGGGCTTCAGTTGGGGCAGTGCAGGCTCGGTTGGGGCAGAGAGGAGACTGGATGCTTCCTTCAGCAGCGCCATCTCTGGGCTGTCCCCTTCTGTGTTTTTTCTGGACAAGGAAAGGGATGGGCTACCACAACACACACACACACACTGCTGCAAAGTCTCCCAAAGCAGAGATACTTTCCAGGTCCATTTTTGTAGCCTGGCCGAGCATGGCCCGCCACCCACTGCAGGCACAGAGCCGCGTCACGCCAAGTCTGAAGGAGCCACCTCAGAGGGCATAGCAGCCTGTGTGAATTCAGCAGTGGACCCTCAACCTCCTCTCTTTTCCTGCCCTGGACAGGTTTATTGGCCTCAAGATGAAGTCGGTCACCTTCATTGACTCTTTGTTTGAAGAGTGCTACTTTGAGGACGTCACGTCGAGCAATACTTTCTTCAGGAACTGCACTTTTCTGGCCACCGTCTTCTACAACACAGGTAACGTGTCTGAGGGGGGACTGAGCTGCTCCCGGGCACCTCAGGGTGGGTGGGTGGGTGGGGGTCCTTGGGAAGCCTCCATCATCTCTCCCGCCTCGGCTGGGCTTTCTCAAAGGCCTCTGAGAACTGCTGAGCCCACCTCATATCCCCCGTGAAGAAGTCACAGCCTTTGCGGTGCGGCTGCTTTCCTGACCAACCGAAGACAGAAAAATAGAATAGAATAGAATAGAATAGAACAGAACAGAATAGAATAGAATAGAATAGAATTATGGGATGGAAGACACCGGCAGGCAGACCCAGCCGGGTTGGTGGGAGCTGTTGGCACCGAGGGGCCTGCAACAAGCCATTCAGAAAAAAGGATGTCCTGAGACGGCGGCCATAACCAGACGGGCTCCTGGGCGGGCCAAGGACTGGCTTGACCAGACGGAGGGGAGGGGGTTAGGGGTCGGGACCTGGCCCCTATGGGTGGGGGGATCTGCCTGGTTTCTTTAGGGAACGGGCCTAAGCCCTGGTCTCTCGCCCCCTCCCCCCAGACCTCTTTGAGTACAAGTTCATCGACAGCCGGATCGTCAACAGCACTTTCCTGCACAACAAAGAAGGGTGCCAGCTGGATTTCAGTGATGACAACAACGCTTACATGATCTACTTTGTCAGCTTCCTGGGCACCCTGGCGGTGCTGCCAGGCAACATTGTCTCTGCGCTCCTGATGGACAAGATCGGGCGTCTTCGCATGTTGGGTGAGGGGCCTCCCTTTTGGCAAATGCTTGGCAGGGATCAGCCCCCCCCCTCAGCAGGTCGTACTGGGGGGGGGGAAAGCCACCTGAGAGACATGGGTGGCCCCTTTTCAGGACCAGCTGTGAAGGGGCCGACTGGTCAGTCGTGTGGTGGGCTGGTTTAGGATCTGGTGTGGCACCGGACTCCTTCTGGGCTCTGACGATGGATGTCCGATGCCCTGGTGGGATCTGTCTGGATAAAGAGGCTTTGAAACCAGCCACGGGGATTCCTGGTCTGGGCAAGACTTCCTAGTGGAGGCAAAAAGGTTTCTGAGCCTGCCCGTTTTTCACAATGAGGTCTAGAAACGGAGGACCGTGTTGAGCTAATGCTTGTCTTCCTCCTCCTCCGACCAACGCAGCCGGCTCAAGCGTCATGTCTTGCATCAGCTGCTTCTTTTTGTCCTTCGGCAAAAGCGAGTCAGCCATGATTGCCCTCCTTTGCTTGTTTGGCGGGGTCAGCATTGCCTCCTGGAACGCCCTGGATGTCCTCACGGTGGAGCTGTACCCTTCGGACAGAAGGTGAGCGTGCCGGGATAGCTGGGGAATGGGTCTCACCTACACTGTGTGTGTGTACACAAGGGTTGTCTTGGGGAAAATAACTGCCCCCGTGAGCCTGTTTGTAGGGGGGGCTCCTTCGGGCATCCTCTGTGCTTCTGCCACTGATGGGCTCCTGGTGGCCTCGCTCTTGAATGGATGGTGATCCCTCCCGGCCACTGGAATCAGAAGGGAGGGGGGAGACCCAGTCAGAGCTCTGCACCCACAAAAGCATCCCACTGTCCCTTCCTCCCCCTCCTCATGGCCTCCCCCTCCCTGCTTCCAGGACCACCGCGTTTGGCTTCCTCAATGCTCTCTGCAAGCTGGCGGCGGTTTTGGGCATCAGCATCTTCACGTCGTTTGTGGGCATCACAAAAGCCGTGCCCATTTTACTGGCATCAGCGGCCCTGGCTGTGGGCAGCTCTCTGGCCCTGAAGCTGCCGGAGACCAGGGGGCAGGTGCTGCAATGAGAGTGAGCCCCCCCCGGCTCTTCTGCCCTCGCCCCTGCCCGGGGGAGATTTAGCGTTGTAGACACTGTGACTGTCTTGTTGTACCATTTCAATGGGAAATCTGTCTTCGCTTGGGTTTTCTTCTGCAAGCTCACTTGCTCTTTTGAGTTCTCCTCACGCGCTCCTTTCTCCCACGGTGCTGAGGTGGACGTGGAGGTGGGGAGGCCGGAGAAGCTGTGGGAGATGGGTGGCCCTTTGCAATCTAGGCATTAGCAAACCAACATCTTGTATTCTGCAATCTGTTTTCCTGCTTCTCTAGATCATGGTTTCCGCAAGTAAGTCTGTGAATATGTGAATATGTCTTCTATTTGTCCAGTAGACTAAGACTACGACTCCCAGCCGCCATAGCTAGCTAACAATGAGAGTTAGAAGCAGGGGATCCAAGCACACAATAGTACAAGCACACAAGCAGACGGATTTGAGGGGGGGGGCTCTGCTGGCATTTGAATTGGAGGTGTAGCCTCGCTTCCCTCAAAGCTGGTGGGCACGAGTCCCCCCCCCCCCCGTAGCACAATTCTTTGGAAAAGGTTTTATAAGGAGTGTTGTAACTTGCAGCTGTTTGCAATGGTGCTTTTGAAGGGGTGGCCCCTCCCTCCCTCCCTTGGCGCTTATCTAGGACCCCCTCGGCCATTCCTGGCTGTGGGCGAATCCCAGTGGGGAGGGGGAAAGATGAACAGCCACCTTCCTCAGCTGTTTAATTCCTGGAAGGAAAGGCCGGAGCCAGAACTTGCTTGGCTGATGGGAAGGCCTTCCTTCTTTCGTCCCCCTGAACGTTGAAAATCGGATTTTGTGCCTCTTGAGTGCCATTTGTGAGTGAGTTAACCAGAAATGCCTAATTGCATTTGCCATGAACAGCCAAAAAGAACACAACATATCGCTCCCAAGCGAAGCGGCTAGGTGCCGGAGCAGAGAGCGGCAGGCGGCAGATCTTGGACCAAATGAAGCATGATTTTATGTGGCCTCTGATATTGCAGGAGAGGGAGGGGGGGCTTCTCCAGGCTCTTTCCTAGCCTGGGCCCCTTTTGTCTTTCAAAGTCTGGCTAGTTAGCAGATTCTTCTGCATTTGGCCATCTTGTACCTAAAAGGGAGCCCCCCTCCTTGCACCCCAACCCTTTTCTCCCCTCCTAATTGATGGCGGGACCACTAGGGAGGGTGGCCCCAGTTCCCTTCGCCCCCTGTAGCAATGAGGACAGTTCCCCCTTTATTGGGAAGAGCAGCTGGTGTCTTTTCTTCCTCTTCCAGGCCTTGAATCTCTCCAGCTGGAGAAAGCCACATTTTCTTGCAGGGTGAGGAAACTGACACACACACACCCCGCTCCTCCCCCCCTCAACAAACCTTACCTGGTGAAATGGCCTCCTCCCTGCTGCTTCCAGACCTTGGCCCGCCCGGGCTTTTAGTTCCCCTCCCTTGTTTTGGCGCAGGTGGGCTTCTGAACAAAACCAAGACACAAACCATATGTAGCTCTGTCTGTGCGCAAAACCAACTGACAAAAAAACTTTGTGCTGTGGTGTAGTTTTTAGATGTTTGTAAAGAACAATTTTAAAAAAATCCAGGAAAAAAAAACCCCAACCCATGTCAACTGTAGTCTCCGGGTCATTTCATTTTGTATAAACCGAGAAGAAGCCAAGAATGATGATTAGATAGGAGTTATTTTAAATGTCATTGTGAGAAACAGTGATTATTATTTTTTTTTTTAAAAAAAGATGCTTTGGCTAATATTATGTGTACAGATGGTTCAGCAGGAAAAGGAAATCTGGATGTTTGGCTGAATCGAGCCACGTTCCCACAACCACCATTGATGAACTTGTAGTTTAACAACAATCCATGTTAAAAAAATGGAGGGAAATAAAAAGTTTGAAAAATCTAATGATCTTTTCTGCTTGAATTGTGCTTTTTAACAATCCGAGAGAAACGTCCGTTTCACAGGCCACCTTTTCTGGGGGAGCTGCAGGATCTTTTTAAAGAAAGCCAAATCAGTTTGGCGGGAAAGCTGAGCCTTTGGGGGGGGGAAGGGGGCGTTAGGGGGGGAGACCGGAAGGGAGCCTCCCCTGCAGGCAGGGTCTCTCTGATGGGGAGTGGCCCAGACAATGGCATCCCCTGAAGGCAAGTGGCGGGCAGTAAGGCTGGGGTTCTGGGGGTCGGGCTCTCCTGTCATCGGTCGGAGGGGGTGTTCCAGTGCTAGTTGAGTGGGGGGCCCTCTGAGGGTCCTGGGTTGAGCTGCAATCCCCACTGGATGCCATTTAGCCAACATGTCCGCCAGAGCGCAGGGCAAGTGCCAGGAGCAAATGGATGTTTGAGCCTGCTGTCATTTCAGCCAATGCTCCTTCCTGGGAATCCTTTGCCAAGGGGAGGGGAAGAACAAAATGAAATTCAAGGGTGAAAAAAACAAGGTTCTACATTTAGGCAAGAAATACCAAATGCACAGGTATAGTATAGGGGGTACCTTGCTCAATAGTAGTGACTGTGAGAGGGACCTCGGAGTCCTAGTGGACAATCACCTAAATGTGAGCCAGCCGTGTGCTGCAGCTGCCAAAAAGGCCAACACAGTGCTGGGCTGCATTAACAGAGGGATAAAATCCAGATCACGTGAAGTATTAATACCACTTTACAATGCCTTGGTAAGGCCACACTTGGAATACTGCATCAAGTTTTGGTCACCACGATGTAAAAAAGATGTTGAGACTCTAGAAAGAGTACAGAGAAGAGCAACAAAGATGATCAGGGGACTGGAGGCTAAATAAGGAATGGTTGCTGGAATTGGGGATGTCTAGTTTAACGAAGAGAAGGACGAGGGGGGACATGACAGCAGTCTTCCAATATCTGAGGGGCTGCCCCAAAGAAGAGGGAGTCAAGCTATTCTCCAAAGTGCCTGAAGGCAGGACAAGAAGCAATGGATGGAAACTAATCAAGGAGAGAAGCAACCTAGAACTAAGGAGAAACTTCCTGACAGTGAGAACAATTAACCAGTGGAACCACCTGCCTCCAGAAGCGGTGAATGCTCCAACACTGGAGGTTTTAAAGAAGAGACCAGACAGCCATTTGTCCGAAATGGTATAGGGTTTCCTGCCTGAGCAGGGGGTTGGTCTCGATGACCTCCAAGGTCCCTTCCAACTTTATCATNGTGGGCCAAAGAGGGGATTCTGTGTCCATTTGAACAAAGAACACACGAAAAAAAGGCAGCAACTCTCCCCCAGGCAGTGACTCCGAGTACAGAGGGGGGCATCATCTCTTGAAAGGAATGGAAGCCCCTTGGCTGCTGCAGGAACAGCGGCTCGCTGGCAGCTCTATGACTCAGTCGGGGACACAGCTGCTGCTGCTGCCGCTGTTGGTGACTCATCTTCCCCTTCTCCATCTTAGTGGCTCTGTGCAGAGACCAGCCCCCTCCCCAGCTTATCTCCTTGCTGCTTTGGGGCGCTGCAAGGAGGCTGGCGGGGGCGGGCAGGAGGGGAGAGCGCAGCAGAATTAAATTCCCCAGAAAGGAAGAGCGGGGAGGAAGCCTGGGGTGTGTGTGTGAGAAATCGGGGGGGGGGGAAGCTTTTGAGGCAATAGCAGGGCCAGCTTTCCATGCGACACCACTGCAGTGCGGCAGAGCCAGCCTTCCTCCCCATTTCTGGTGGGGAAAGGTCGGGCAGGAGTGGGGCAGCAAAGCTCCACTTCCTTCTAATTTGGGCCTTGCAGGTCTGCCGGGCCCTTTTCCACCGCTGTGGGTCTCATAAGCTCTGCCACTGACGAGGCTGCCTTCCGAAGGCCTTGGGCAGCTTCCGTTGGCAGGGACTCTCTGACAGCCAGGATGGTTGGAGAAGACGGGCACCGAGGCCTCAGCAAAGGGTGGGAGAGGCTGCCCAGAGGGTGCATTGACCCAGTAAGCAGAGCAAGGCCTGTCCGGGACCACACAGTGGCTCTTTGAGGGCTGGTGCCTCCAGTGAACATTCAAATAACCCGTCAAGGTGCTCATGGGGGGGTATCTCCCCTCCTAGCTCCTGGTCACTCCAACACTGGCTCAAGCCTGGAGCCATTTGGTCAACTGTCTGACCGCTCTAAAAGCCAGACACCCAACCCCCCGTCCAGTTCCTCCCTGAAAAAGTGCAGGTGAAGCCACGGAGGGGCAGGGGTGCCTCTCCACCAGGGAGCAGCGTAGAGACCCACCCCAAGGGTGAGACGGAGCCATTGTCTCACAGCAATGGAGATGCTGCCAGAAGCCCCCTGGCCCTCGGAGCCCAGGCCAGGCCAGCTGAGTGTCCTGCAGGAGGCACAATTGACCGGATGTTGGAGAGGTTAACTCTGGACCGCCAGCAGGTGGAAAGAGTCCCCACCCACTGAGCATGTTCTGGAAGCCACAGGGCACCTTCCCCTCCTGTCCCTCAGCCTGGGTCACCAGCTGGGTTGGTGTTAATGCAAGCCCCTCCATCCCCCAATAGTGCCAGGCTCTATCTGACTGCCAATCCTTTCCCCAAGAATGAACAGAGGATTGCCAAGCTCCCTCCAGAACATGGCTGCTCTGCTATAACTCCTGTCTCTCTCCTCCTCCTGTTTCTCTCCTCCTGCTGTCTCCCTCCTCCAGGCCTGATTGTCTACCTGGGAATGATGGTGGGTGCCTTCCTGTGGGGCGGCCTGGCAGACCGGCTGGGGCGCAGGCAGTGCCTGCTGATGTCACTCTCGGTCAACAGCGTCTTTGCCTTCTTCTCCTCCTTCGTGCAGGGCTACGGCACTTTCCTCTTCTGCCGGCTGCTCTCTGGTGTGGGGTAAGGGGACCCCGGGGGCTTCAGTCTGGGCGCAGCCCGCCTTTTCTCCCATCCTGAGGCCAGGGATGGCCTTCAAGGGCGAGGGCGCTATGGGCATCCCCCCCCAGCAGAACAGAGCAGCGTGTCCGAGGGCAGCCGGGGCCGGCTGAAGTTTGCAAAGACACTGAGGTGCAACTGGAAGGCATCTCCGCTGGTCCCAGCACAGGGGCTCCGGGAAAGGAACGGGGCTGCCCGAGTCGTTTTGGCCAGGAGGCTGGTGGGGTCTCCCCGTCCCTCTTCTGAAATTGCTCTCTCCCCTCCCAGCATTGGGGGGTCCATCCCCATCGTTTTCTCCTACTACTCGGAGTTCCTGGCCCAGGAGAAGCGCGGCGAGCACCTCAGCTGGCTCTGCATGTTCTGGATGATTGGCGGCATCTACGCCTCTGCCATGGCCTGGGCCATCATCCCCCATTACGGTGAGTCCCCGAGGGCAGGGGGAAAGAAAAGACCAGGACGTCCGCAGGCCGAAGGAGACCCACGTGGGGCTGAACCCTTTCCAGTTTGGCTGCAGTGGGATTTCCTCTTGGGCCTTGTTTGTACACGTTGACCCATCTGCCCTCCCAAGTTGGGCAGCGTCCCAACCCAGCAAGCAGCAGGGTTGGTCCCCAATCCGTAGGAGTCTGCCAGGTGTGCCCTCATGGGGCTTGGAAGCTGGGGAGAAGAGACAGGGTTCGGCCGTTGTTGCTCCTGATGGGCTGGAGTTGTAGGCTTCCATGGCTCAGACTTTGGGGGGGGGAGGAGAGTGTTCATAGGCAGTGGACATTCCCCTTTTGTAAAGCCCTCTTCTCCATCACCCCCCCCCCGTCGCTCAGGGTGGAGCTTCCAAATGGGATCCGCCTACCAGTTCCACAGCTGGCGCGTCTTCGTCTTGGTCTGTGCCTTTCCGTCGGTCTTTGCCATCGGGGCCCTCACCACCATGCCGGAGAGCCCCCGCTTCTTCCTGGAAGTAAGAAGACCCCAGTGCCCCCTTTCAAGGGGTGGAGAGGGCTGCTAGATGCCCGCAGAGTGAGCCCTAGGCCGGAGCCGGGCCAACTCTGCTTCCCCGTTGCCTGTCCCCCAGCAGCTGATGCGGGGAGGGTCCAAGAGCTGAGCCTCCGAGGCGTGAGGGGCAGAGGAAGATCCTTGGGGAGCAAACGGGTAGACACCCCCATGTTTCTCTCTTTCTAGAACGGCAAGCATGACGAGGCCTGGATGGTTCTGAAGCAGGTCCATGACACCAACATGAGGGCAAAAGGCCACCCTGAACGGGTCTTCTCGGTAGGAGCCCTTCTTCCCCTCCTCCTGGTGACCTGCCCACCACTAGGTCTCTTTGCATGACCCCCCCCACTACTCTCTCGGCTAGGGGGGCTCTGGATGACTTTCAAGTTTCACGTTCCATTGGCAGGTGACCCACATCAAGACAATCAAACAGGAGGACGAATTGGTCGAGATCCAGTCGGACACAGGGACCTGGTACCGGCGCTGGATGGTCCGCTTCCTGAATCTTTCTCAGCAGGTCAGTTGTCCAGGGTGGGGGCTGGGGGGGAGGGTTTGTGGGACTGCTGGGTTCCCTTCATGGGAGCCGTGCTGGGCAACCACACCAGGCGGGGGAGGCTGCAGTTCAACCACGGCCTCCCCAAAAGGCTTTCAGGGCAGGGACTGCCTCCCAAAGGATCCGCCCAAGCCCCTCGCGCCCCTAGCTGCATCCCAGACCCGGGAAGCTCCAAGCGCCTCCCCTCCCCTTCCACAGGTCTGGGCAAACTTCCACCAGTGCTTTGCTCCCGAGTATCGTCGGGTCACGTTGATGATGATGGCGGTCTGGTTCACCATGTCCTTCAGGTGAGCCACTCTGGGGGAGAGCCAGGCGACCTGGCGCTGGATCCACAGATCTCCCTCGAGGGAGGGGAGGGAGAGAGGTGCACCGGTCCCTTCTCTGAAAAACAAGAGGGGCCCAAACCTCTGAGATGATTGGCAGGGCTCCTAGAATGAAATGTTGAATTGACATTCACGGAGCCACGAGGATCGAGCCCCCAGTCTGTGCGGGGATGCAAAGAGTAACACTGTTAAACCTTTAAGTAACAAAGTGCAAACCTCACATCGCTCCCGCCCACGAGCCACACTGCCAGAGACAGTACAAGCCACGGCCACACTGGAGCCGAGGGTCTTCGCCCCCTGCATTTATTTCCGTCAGTTGGAGTTGGAAAGACCAACGCCCTGACAGGAAGAGCTGCGGGCTGGGCAGTTGGGCTTCGGGAGGATGCTTGGACCCTCCTTGGCCCACGAAGGTCCTCGCCCAGTGGGGGATCCTGGGAGTCGTCGCCCCGACGCCCTTCAAGTTGGGAAGAAGGGTGTGCTGGGAAACCAGCCTTTCTCTCCAGTTGAGGGTCCTCCAAACCTTTCTGGTTCTTTCTCTCCCCTCCTCCTCCTCCACCTACCTTGGCCACCGGGCAGCTACTACGGCCTGACCGTCTGGTTCCCAGACATGATTAAGCACCTCCAGAATGTGGAATATGCCTCCCGCACGAAGGTCTTTAACAACGAGACGTTCAGACACATCACCTTCAACTTCACCCTGGAGAACCAGATCCACCGCCGGGGGGAATACTTCAATGACAAGTAGGTGACGCTCTGCTTCAGAGGCTGGCTCTGTGACCAGCCCCCTCCCCCCCCGCCCGGGTGGGGCTTCAGTTGGGGCAGTGCAGGCTCGGTTGGGGCAGAAGGGAGACTGGATGCTTCCTTGAGCCGCGCTGTCTCTAGGCTGTCCCCTTCTGTGTTTTATTCTGGACAAGGAAAGGGATGGGCTACCGCAACACACACACACCGCTGCAAAGTCTCCCAAAGCAGAGATACTTTCCAGGTCCATTTTTGTAGCCTGGCCGCACATGGCCTGCCACCCACTGCAGGCACAGAGCCGCGTCATGCCAAGTCTGAAGGAGCCACCTCAGAGGGCTTAGCAGTGAATTCAGCAGTGGACCCTCAACCTCCTCTCTCTCCCCCCCTGAACAGGTTTATTGGCCTCAAGATGAAGTCGGTCACCTTCATTGACTCTTTGTTTGAAGAGTGCTACTTTGAGGACGTCACGTCGAGCAATACTTTCTTCAGGAACTGCACTTTTCTGGCCACCGTCTTCTACAACACAGGTAACGTGTCTGAGGGGACCGGAGCTGCTCCTGGGCACCTCTGGGTGGGTGGGTGGGGGTCCTTGGGAAGCCTCCATCATCCCTCCCGCCTCGGCTGGGCTTTCTCAAAGGCCTCTGAGCTGCTGAGCCCACCTCATATCCCCCATGAAGAAGTCACAGCCTTTGCGGTGCGGCTGCTTTCCTGACCAACCGAAGACAGAAAAATAGAATAGAATAGAATAGAATAGAATAGAATAGAATAGAATAGAATAGAATTATGGGATGGAAGACACCGGCAGGCAGGCCCAGCCGGGTGGTGGGAGCTGTTGGCACCGAGGGACCTGCAACAAGCCATTCAGAAAAAAGGATGTCCTGAGACGGCGGCCATAACCAGACGGGCTCCTGGGCGGGCCAATGACTGGCTTGACCAGACGGAGGGGAGGGGGTTAGGGGTCGGGACCCGGCCCCTATGGGTGGGGGGATCTGCCTGGTTTCTTTAGGGAACGGGCCTAAGCCCTGGCCTCTCGCCCCCCCCCCCCCAGACCTCTTTGAGTACAAGTTCATCGACAGCCGGATCGTCAACAGCACCTTCCTGCACAACAAAGAAGGGTGCCAGCTGGATTTCAGTGACGACAACAACGCTTACATGATCTACTTTGTCAGCTTCCTGGGCACCCTGGCGGTGCTGCCAGGCAACATTGTCTCTGCGCTCCTGATGGACAAGATCGGGCGTCTTCGCATGTTGGGTGAGGGGCCTCCCTTTTGGCAAATGCTTGGCAGGGATCAGCCCCCCCCTCTCAGCAAGTCATCCTGGGGGGAGGGAAGCCACCTGAGAGACGTCAGCCCTGGGACCGGCTGTCAAGGGGCCAACTGGTCAGTCGTGTGGTGGGCTGGTTTAGGATCTGGTGTGGCACCGGACTCCTTCTGGGCTCTGACGATGGATGTCCGATGCCCTGGTGGGATCTGTCTGGATAAAGAGGCTTTGAAACCAGCCACGGGGATTCCTGGTCTGGGCAAGACTTCCTAGTGGAGGCAAAAAGGTTTCTGAGCCTGCCCGTTTTTCACAATGAGGTCTAGAAACGGAGGACCGTGTTGAGCTAATGCTTGTCTTCCTCCTCCTCCGACCAACCCAGCCGGCTCGAGCGTCATGTCTTGCATCAGCTGCTTCTTTTTGTCCTTCGGCAAAAGCGAGTCAGCCATGATTGCCCTCCTTTGCTTGTTTGGCGGGGTCAGCATTGCCTCCTGGAACGCCCTAGATGTCCTCACGGTGGAGCTGTACCCTTCGGACAGAAGGTGAGCGTGCCGGGATAGCTGGGGAATGGGTCTCACCTACACTGTGTGTGTGTACACAAGGGTTGTCTTGGTGAAAATAACTGCCCCCGTGAGCCTGTTTGTAGGGGGGGCTCCTTCGGGCATCCTCTGTGCTTCTGCCACTGATGGGTTCCTGGTGGCCTCGCTCTTGAATGGATGGCGATCCCTCCCGGCCACTGGAATCAGAAGGGAGGGGGGAGACCCAGTCAGAGCTCTGCACCCACAAAAGCATCCCACTGTCCCTTCCTCCCCCTCCTCATGGCCTCCCCCTCCCTGCTTCCAGGACCACCGCGTTTGGCTTCCTCAATGCTCTCTGCAAGCTGGCGGCGGTTTTGGGCATCAGCATCTTCACGTCGTTTGTGGGCATCACAAAAGCCGTGCCCATTTTACTGGCATCAGCGGCCCTGGCTGTGGGCAGCTCTCTGGCCCTGAAGCTGCCGGAGACCAGGGGGCAGGTGCTGCAATGAGAGTGAGCCCCCCCCCCGGCTCTTCTGCCCTCGCCCCTGCCCGGGGGAGATTTAGCGTTGTAGACACTGTGACTGTCTTGTTGTACCATTTCAATGGGAAATCTGTCTTCGCTTGGGTTTTCTTCTGCAAGCTCACTTGCTCTTTTGAGTTCTCCTCACGCGCTCCTTTCTCCCACGGTGCTGAGGTGGACGTGGAGGTGGGGAGGCCGGAGAAGCCGTGGGAGATGGGTGGCCCTTTGCAATCTAGGCATTAGCAAACCAACATCTTGTATTCTGCAATCTGTTTTCCTGCTTCTCTAGATCATGGTTTCCGCAAGTAAGTCTGTGAATATGTGAATATGTCTTCTATTTGTCCAGTAGACTAAGACTACGACTCCCAGCCGCCATAGCTAGAAGCAGGGGATCCAAGCACACAATAGTACAAGCACACAAGCAGACAGATTTGAGGGGGGGGCTGCTGGCATTTGAATTGGAGGTGTAGCCTCGCTTCCCTCAAAGCTGGTGGGCACGAGTCCCCCTCCGTAGCACAATTCTTTGGAAAAGGTTTTATAAGGAGTGTTGTAACTTGCAGCTGTTTGCAATGGTGCTTTTGAAGGGGTGGCCCCTCCCTCCCTCCCTTGGCGCTTATCTAGGACCCCCTCGGCCATTCCTGGCTGTGGGCGAATCCCAGTGGGGAGGGGGAAAGATGAACAGCCACCTTCCTCAGCTGTTTAATTCCTGGAAGGAAAGGCCGGAGCCAGAACTTGGCTTGGCTGATGGGAAGGCCTTCCTTCTTTCGTCCCCCTGAACGTTGAAAATCGGATTTTGTGCCTCTTGAGTGCCATTTGTGAGTGAGTTAACCAGAAATGCCTAATTGCATTTGCCATGAACAGCCAAAAAGAGCACAACATATCGCTCCCAAGCGAAGCGGCTAGATGCCGGAGCAGAGAGCGGCAGGCAGATCTTGGACCAAATGAAGCATGATTTTATGTGGCCTCTGATACTGCAGGAGAGGTGGGGGGGCTTCTCCAGGCTCTTTCCTAGCCTGGGCCCCTTTTGTCTTTCAAAGTCTGGCTAGTTAGCGGATTCTTCTGCATTTGGCCATCTTGTACCTAAAAGGGAGCCCCCCTCCTCCTTGCACCCCAACCCTTTTCTCCCCTCCTAATTGATGGCGGGACCACTAGGGAGGGTGGCCCCCGTTCCCTTCGCCCCTTGTAGCAATGAGGACAGTTCCCCCTTTATTGGGAAGAGCAGCTGGTGTCTTTTCTTCCTCTTCCAGGCCTTGAATCTCTCCAGATGGAGAAAGCCACATTTTCTTGCAGGGTGAGGAAACTGACACCCCCCCCCGCTCCCCCCTCCACTGAACAAACCTTACCTGGTGAAATGGCCTCCTCCCTGCTGCTTCCAGACCTTGGCCCGCCCGGGCTTTTAGTTCCCCTCCCTTGTTTTGGCGCAGGTGGGCTTCTGAACAAAACCAAGACACAAACCATATGTAGCTCTGTCTGTGCGCAAAACCAACTGACAAAAAAACTTTGTGCTGTGGTGTAGTTTTTAGATGTTTGTAAAGAACAATTTTAAAAAAATCCAGGAAAAAAAAAACCCAACCCATGTCAACTGTAGTCTCTGGGTCATTTCATTTTGTATAAACCGAGAAGAAGCGAAGAATGATGATTAGATAGGAGTTATTTTAAATGTCATTGTGAGAAACAGTGATTATTATTTTTTTTTTAAAAAAAAGATGCTTTGGCTAATATTATGTGTACAGATGGTTCAGCAGGAAAAGGAAATCTGGATGTTTGGCTGAATCGAGCCACGTTCCCACGACCACCATTAATGAACTTGTAGTTTAACAACAATCCATGTTAAAAAAATGGAGGGAAATAAAAAGTTTTAAAAATCTAATGATCTTTTCTGCTTGGATTGTGCTTTTTAATAATCCGAGAGAAACGTCCGTTTCACAGGCCACCTTTTTTGTGGGAGCTGCAGGATCTTTTTAAAGAAAGCCAAATCAATTTGGCGGGAAAGCTGAGCCTTTGGGGGGGGGAAGGGGGCGTTGGGGGGGGGAGACCGGAAGGGAGCCTCCCCTGCAGGCAGGGTCTCTCTGATGGGGAGTGCCCCTGAAGGCAAGCGGCGGGCAGTAAGGCTGGGGTTCTGGGGTTCGGGCTCTCCTGTCATCAGTCAGAGGGGGTGTTCCAGTGCCGGTCGAGTGGGGGGCCCTCTCAGGGTCCTGGGTTGAGCTGCAATCCCCACTGGATGCCATTTAGTCAACATGTCCGCCAGAGCGCAGGGCAAGTGCCAGGAGCAAATGGATGTTTGACTCTGCTGTCATTTCAGCCAATGCTCCTTCCTGGGAATCCTTTGCCAAGGGGAGGGGAAGAACAAAATGAAATTCAAGGGTGAAAAAAGCAAGGTTCTACATTTAGGCAAGAAAAGCCAAATGCACAGGTATAGTATAGGGGGTACCTTGCTCAATAGTAGCAACTGTGAGAGGGACCTCGGAGTCCTAGTGGACAATCACTTAGACAGGAGCCAGCCGTGTGCTGCAGCTGCCAAAAAAGCCAACACAGTGCTGGGCTGCATTAACAGAGGGATAGAATCAAGATCACGTGAAATGTTAATACCACTTTACAATGCCTTGGTAAGGCCACACTCGGAATCCTGCATCCAGTTTTGGTCACCGCGATGTAAAAAAGATGTTGAGACTCTAGAAAGAGCTCAGAGAAGAGCAACAAAGATGATCAGGGGACTGGAGGCTAAATAAGGAACGGTTGCTGGAATTGGATATGTCTAGTCTAATGACGAGAAGGACGAGGGGGGACAGGATAGCAGCCTTCCAGTATCTCAGAGGCTGCCCCAAAAAAGAGGGAGTCAAGCTTTTCTCCAAAGCACCTGAGGGCAGGACAAGAAGCAACGGATGAAAACTAATCAAGGAGAGAAGCAACTTAGAACTAAGGAGAAACTTCCTGACAGTGAGAACAATTAACCAGTGGAACAACCTGCCTCCAGAAGCGGTGAATGTTCCAACACTGGAAGTTTTTAAGAAGAAACTGGACAGCCATTTGTCCGAAATGGTATAGGGTTTCCTGCCTGAGCAGGGGGTTGGACTCGATGACCTCCAAGGTCCCTTCCAACTTTATTATTATTATTATTAAATTGCGACCCTCTTTTCTTCATCTGGGGAAGAACAGCCCCCCCAGCTACCTACCTGCCCCCCCCCAAAGTGAGCAGACACAGGGAGGAAAGCCCAAGGCATTTAATACGCTTCAGCAGACACCAGGCAGGGGAGCAAGCCGGACCGGCCCGGCCACCAAGGGCTGCTCTGGGCAACTCAAACCGGAAGGAGGCCTGGAGGTCAGAGCCCCCCCGGGCCCTCCGGCCCGGCTTGCGTGAGCCCCGTCTTCGCCAACTTGCCGGCCGCGGACGGGTCGTGCTTGGCCCCTCCCAGGCACCGGGGGCTCTGGCCGACGGGCGCGCCCTTCTTCTCCCACTGCTGCGGGGTCTTGGCCTGGATGGAGAGCGAGTGGACGGGGCCGGCCAGCTCTTCCTGGAGGAGGTCGTTGACCAGGCGGTGCCGGTGGATGAGCGAGAGGCCCTCGAAGCGCCGGCTGGCCACCACCACCCGGAAGTGGGTCTCCGCGCCGCGCGGCACGGCGTGCAGGTGGCTGTCGTTGATGACCTCCAGGTGGAGGGGCTCCAGGGCCGCCTGCAGCTTGGCCCGGATGCCCGACTCCACCGGCTTCTCCATGGCCGACCCGCTCAGCGCCGCGCGTCCGGCCGGGAAAGCTGGGCAGCGGAGGAGGGCACGGCGGAGCGCCAGCAGGCCGGAGGAGAGCATCGGAGAGCTGTAACACAAACGCCGGGGGTAGTGGGGGGGTCGGCGGCCGGGTTCCCCACCGCCCGGGGCGCGCGGGCATCGGTGCCCTCGCCAGCCTGGAAGGACGGCGACCGGAGGGCGGACCGAAGCTTTGCAGCCCCCGGCCTCGGAAGGGCCTCCCAAGGACTCACCTGCCGCGCCCCACACCTCCGAGGTCGAGCCCCAAACCGCGCCCCTCCCCGGGCTGCGCGCTGATTTTCTTAGCTCGCCCAGTCGCCGCCCACCCGGCTGCCGGGAAAGCGAGTTCCTGCCAGCCCGAGGGGGCGGGGGCGCCAACGGCACTACACTTCCCGGCAGCCTCGAGGACCCTTCTCGTCTTGTCGCGCGCTGTTGCATTCTGGGAGCCGTAGTCTTTTGCGCGCTGGAGGCGCTTTGGACAACCGCGCGATGGGGGGAAAGCAGGTTTTTCTGCCCCCGCGGAGCCCCCACCAGAGCGGGCCGATGGGAACCCCACATCGCGGCCGGGTGCCGCGAACTACAACTCCCATCCTGCTCAGCCAGCTATAGGGCTGTCTCTTTCTCTCCCTTCCCTGGGTCTCACCTGTCGTCGGAAGCGCAGGTCCGCCCGCTCCTTTCCTTTCGCCCTGAGCGCGCTCCTGCGTCTCCGCGAAGGGGCAATTATGACCTCACCGCACCGACCCGGGCACCGCGCAGCCTCCTCCGGCGGGAAGCGCCTCGCTGGCATCCGCCCCTGGTCTCCAGGTGTGCGGCAGGTAGATTTGCCTCCTGCCCCGGCTGTCAGCGAAGCAGGAGATTCCCTCCCGGGGATCACTGGGGCCGGGTGCAGCGACACATCCCTTCCCCCCCACTCCACCCCCGAGACCGGACTGACCGCACCGAGGGATCCTGAGCCGGCGCAAGCCCGGATCTGTCCACCAGGTGGCGGGCGAGCCATTCTTGCGCTTTCGGCCAGGCTGGTGGGACCAACCCGCTTGTCCAGCAGGAGAAAAGGGGTCCTTCCTTCCTGCTCCTGCCCCCCCCCGCCCCCCAGCTCTCACACGCTGTATTTCACCCAGCCTGGATGTCCAGGGCTCCTTTTATCCGGCCTCCAGCTTCAGGTCACACTCCATATGCCAGTGGTGGCGAACCTATGGCACGGGTGCCAGAGGTGGCACTCGGAGCCCTCTCTGTGGGCACGTGTGCCGTCGCCCCAGTCCTAGGCCTTCAGCTGGGTTTTATAAAACCTTTTCGCTTTAGGCCTCCGCCGCCATGTGCAAAAAAAAAAGGTTCAATCAATCAGTCAATTTCAACTTCTCGCGGGGGGAAAAAAAAGATCTTGCAAAGTTGGAATTGATTGATTGCACTTTTTAGTCCCACCCAGTCTGCCGTTACCACCGCAGCCACGCCCACCCAATGGGCCACGCCCCAATTGGCCACACCCAACCAATGGGCCACACCCAACCAATGGGCCACACCCACCCGGCACCCGACGATGCATAAGTGGGTTTTGGGTTGCAGTTTGGGCACTCGGTCTCTAAAAGGTTCGCCATCCCTGCCATATGCTGTCCCCAACCCGACCCCCTTTTGGCTGCCCCCCTCACCCAGGCCAGGTGTGATCCCTTTGGAGTGGCCCCTGGCCCTACTGGATCCTCTACAGTCCAAGGGGCCCAGTGGATGGGGGTCCATGGGGATTGTGGGGGAAAGAAGGGGGGAGCTGCCTCCTGTTGACTCAGCTTCTCGTCCAGCAAAGGCATCAAATCAAGCCGCTCTCCCACTCTGGGCCTGCTGTCCTCTCAGTCTCCCAAGACACTCTTGTGAGAAGGAGGAGAAAATGAATACCCTCTTTTTGTTGTTTTAATAAGTTCTGTGAGAGCTTGGAGCTAGGAGGCCTTCGGCTTTTCGGGCTGGCCTTCTCGGGTGCTGAAGTGAGTGAGGATGGCGCTGCAGACGTCCTCCAGCTCCTTCCTCCGCTCCTCGTAGGCCTTCTTGGGCGCAAGCCGGTTGTCGTCCATCCAGGCGGCCGTCTCCTCACACATTTCCAGCAGCCTCCGCTTGGCCCGGTCGTCCAGGGACTTCTCTGCCGCCGCCCTCTTGAGCTGGAGGGTGCTGGCCTCCAGGGCGTTGAGGGCTTCCAGCTTCTCCTCCTGCAGTTTCTCCTGCACTCGATGTTCCTTCTCCTCCTGGAGGATCCTCTCCATCTCGTCTCGATCCAGCCGGCCCCGGGTGTCGATGATGGTGAGCTCTTCCTTGCTGCCCGTGTTTCTCTCCATGGCTGAAACCGTGAGGATGTTGTTGTGGTCAATCTGAAAGGTGACCGCAATCACTGGGACACCCCGTGGTGCTGGTTGAAGGCCGCTCAGGGTGATGGTGCCCAGGAGACGGTTGTGCTTGGTCAGCATCCGCTCCCCTTCGTAGATCTGCAGGAAGAGGCTGCCCTGGTTGTCCTCCGTGGTGGAGAAGTTCCTGCTCTCTTTTGTGGGAGTGGGAGAGTTGCGCTTGACCAGCACATCCATCACGCCTCCCACCGTCTCCAGCCCCAAGGAGACGGGGGTCACGTCCAGGAGGAGCAGGTTCTGCAGGTTTTGGTATCGGTGGCCCGTCAGAATGGCGGCTTGGATGGCCGCCCCATGGGCCACCACCTCCTCGGGGCTGATGCTTTTGCACAACCGCTGTCCATCAAAGAATTTGGACAGGAGCCTCTGGATCATGGGGATGTGCGTGGAGCCTCCCCCGAGGCCGATCTCGTGCACCTGGCTTTTCTTGAGCCCTGCTTCCTCCAGCACCTGCTGCACCTGAACCAGGGTTGCCTGAAAGAGGTCGCCACACAAATCTTCGAAGCAGGCCCGGGTGACTGTGGTGTGGAAGTCAATTCCCTTGTAGAGCGAGTCAATGGAGACTGTGGCTGCCATGCTGGAACTCAGGGTCTGCTTAGCCTTCTTACAGGCCTCCTTCAGCCTCTGCATGGCCTTCCTGCTCACGGTGGGATCCTCCTGGAACTTGTTCCTGAACTCTTGGGCGAGCTGGTTGGCCAGCCTTTGGTCAAAATCCTCCCCGCCCAAGTGGGAATCCCCTGCTGTGGCCACAACTTCAAAGACGCCATCCTGGGCAGTGAGGACGGAGACATCAAAGGTGCCCCCGCCCAGATCAAAGATGAGGATGTTTCTCTTCCCTTTGCGCGGGTGGGTCTCCTTGAGCCCATAAGCCACCGCAGCTGCCGTGGGCTCGCTGACTAAACTCAGGACCCGGAGCCCTGCAATTGCCCCCGCATCAATGGTGGCCTGGCGCTGGGCATCATTGAAGTACGCCGGGACCGTGATGACGGCCCGGGTGACCGGGCGGCCTAAGGAAGCCTCGGCTACCTGCTTCAGCTTGTAGAGCACCATGGCGGAGATCTCCTCAGGGTACAACTCCTTCTCCACCCCTCGGTAGGACACCCGGACCTTTGCCTTGCCATTACCATTGCCAGCCTCCACCAGGTGGTTTGGCCTGTTCTTCAGGTCCGACTGCACTGAGGGGTCGTCGTACCTGCGGCCGATCAGCCGCTTCACGTTATAGACGGTGTTTTCTGGGTTGAGGCTGGCCTGCAGTTCTGCCGGTTCCCCCACCAGGCGCTCCCTGTGGGTGAAAGCCACGCAGCTGGGAGTGGTGCGGCTGTTGTGGTCATTGGCCAGGATCTCCACCCTCCCCCTCTGGCAGACGGCCACGCAGGATTTTGTGGTGCCCAGATCAATCCCCACGGCTGGGCCTTTGGGGCAAATTCTGGCCGTGTCTGGTCTCGGTGTGGAGGGGGTGTCTGGTCTGGAGGTGGGCTTGGGCTCGTCTGCATGGCTGAGGTCAGCTCCCATAGGTGGCTCTTTCCCCGAGCAGCCTTTGGCCTTCTGCCAAAGATGGAAAATTGGCAATCCCAGGGGGCAGCTCTCTTGGGTCTGCACCCCCGACTTCTCCTTCTGGGCTTTTTTTTCAGAGGACAGACACCCCTCCCCCACCACTGTGCATGTCATAATGGGGCCCTGGGACCTGTTGGGAGGCTCGGTGTCCCCTGCAGACGGCAGACCCTTTCCTCTTCTGTGTCCCAGTGGAGATTCTACTGCAGAGCCCACCACTGTCTCCGCCTGGAGAAGACGGGGCGAGGGGCTCTTCTCTTGGGACAGCATCCTGACCCCCTGCTTCCCGTGCTGGGCCTCCTGGGTAAGTGCAGATTACCTTCGGGCAGGCTGTCTGGTTTTATTTTTTTTTGTCCCTGACCTAGATCCCTTTTGTGGTGGGTTTCAGAGCCAGACAAACCAACAAAAGCCTTAAGCCGGATAGAGAACCCACCCCATAACTGGAGAATGTGAACTAGACACTGTTCAAATAAATCTAGAGAAAATAAGAAGGATTCTCTGATACAAAGTAAGACTTTTGAAAGTCCAGGTGGGCTTCATCCTTGAGCTCTAGTGGCTGTGCTGGGAGGGAGCGTCATCCAAGGAGCCCCTCTGAGTCACTAACTTCTCCATGGCCTTCTAGACTGCGTCAAAAGCCAGACAAGGGGCCAGCAGGCCGAGCTGTGTGGCTCTTGTGTCCCTGCACTTTTGAGAAGGCGCCTTGCGGTGCTCAAGAGGTTACAAGAAGGAGAAGCCACCTTGGAGTTGAGGACCCTCTGCTCAGGCCAGGGCAGGGGATTTTGGCCCTTAGTGCCTCTTCTCTTGCTTTGGCCCTCCTGCTAAGCCTTAACTCGTATTTGGACTCTGGTCGTGTGACTTGCTCATGGGCTGGTTGGGGCATAAAAACCGTTAGTGAAACCAAATGGTTGTAATCAGAGAAGGACTCATTTTTTTACCCATAGTTTTAATGCGCCCTTTGGGTGGAACAGTGTACTCTGGCACTCAGCCGATTCATTCCATGTCTTCCTTCGGCTCGGCGGCCTCAGCCTCTCCTTCCGCCCGCTCTTCTGCCAGCTCACGGGTGTAGACCGAGTCCCAGGCTTCCTCCAGGTCCTTCTGCTGCTTCTCGCACTCCTCTTTCTCCGCCAAGGGGTTCTCCTCCAGCCAAGAGGCAGCACCGTCACACATTTCCAACATCCTCCTCTTGGCCTTCCCATCCAGGAGCTGCTCTTCCGCCACCCTCTTGAGCTCCAGGGTGCAGGATTCCAAGGAGTTCATGGCTTCGATCTTCTCCTGCAGGCTCAGGTCGTTGGCCCGGAATTCCTCCGCTGTCTGCACGATTGTCTCTATTTCCTCCTTGCCCAAGCGTCCACGGGTGTCCGAGATGGTCAGGTGGCCAGTGTTCCCTGTTTCCACATCTTTAGCTGAGACGGTCAGAATATTGTTCTCGTCAATGGAGAAGGTGACCAGAATGACCGGGACCCCACAGGGAGCTGGGGGGATGCCTTTCAAGGTGAACATGCCCAAGAGGTGGTTGTGTTTGGTCAGGGCCCGCTCTCCCTCGTACACCATGAACAAGATGGTGTCTTGGTCATCCTCAGTCGTGGTGAACTCCATGACCTCTTTTGTTGGGACAGGTGAGTTGCGTTTTATGATGGTTGCCATGACACCTCCTTGAGTATTGATCCCCAGAGACAAAGGGGTGACGTCCAGAAGAAACATATTCTGTGTCTTGGGCGTCCGGTTGCCCGTCAAGATGGCAGCCTGGATGGCTGCCCCGTAGGCCACAGCTTCATCAGGGTTAATGCCTTTGTTCAACTCCTTGCCATTGAAGAAGTCCTTCAGCAACTTCTGGATCTTGGGGATGCGGGTGGAGCCCCCAACCAAAATAATGTCCTTGATGTCCCCTTTGCTCATCTTGGCATCTCTCAAGGCCCTTTCAAGGGGCTTCAGGGTGGCTCGGAATAGGTCGGAGCACAGGTCCTCGAACCGTGCCCGGGTGAGGGTGGTGTGGAAGTCAATCCCTTGGAAGAGGGAGTCCACAGAGATACTGGCACTAGTGCAGGAACTCAAGGTGCATTTGGCCCGCTCGGCAGCCGTCTTCAACCTTTGCAGAGACTTCTTGTCCTGGTGGAGGTCTCTCCTGTGCTTTTTCTTGAACTCCTCTGCAAGGTGGGTCACCAGCCTCTTGTCAAAGTCCTCCCCGCCCAAGTGGGTGTCCCCTGCGGTGGCCTTGACTTCAAAGATGCCGTCCTCCATGGAAAGGATAGAAACATCAAAGGTGCCCCCACCCAGGTCAAAAATGAGGATGTTTCGGCTGCCAGCCTCTTGATTCCTGGCATCCAGGCCGTAGGCAATGGCAGCTGCTGTGGGCTCATTCAGGAGTTTTAGGATCTGGAGGCCCGCAATGACTCCAGCATCAATGGTGGCCTGCCGCTGGGCATCACTGAAGTAGGCGGGCACCGTGACGATGGCTTGGGAGACGGAGGAGCCCAGGTAGGCCTCAGCTGTTTGCTTCATCTTGGCCAGGACCATGGCAGAGATCTCCTCAGGGTAGAAGGTCCGCTGTTTACCTTTGTGGGAGACTTGGACCTTTAGCTTCTCCTCACGGCTCACCACAGTGAATGGCCAGTGTTTCATGTCCTCCTGTACAGCGGCATCCTCATACTTGCGGCCAATCAGCCGCTTGGCATCGAACACCGTGTTCTGGGGGTTGAGAGAGGCCTGGCTCTTGGCGGGGTCTCCAATCAGGTGTTCTGTGTTGGTGAAGGCCACGTAGCTGGGTGTGGTCCGCTTCCCTTGGTCATTGGCGATGATCTCTACTTTGTCGTGTTGGCAGACGGCCACGCAGGAGAAGGTGGTTCCAAGGTCAATCCCAACAGCCAGGTCATTCTGCTTAGGCATGGTGATGTCCCAGAGGGTGGCCGACTCAGGAGTGGAAGGAGGTGACCGTTCTCATGAGAGATGCAGGCGTCTCCCCTTATCTTTTGCCCCTTTTCCTCTTCTAGGACCAAACAGCTGGACGATGGGGGCTTAGATTCTTCTTAGGGATCATGGCATCATCTTCCTTGCCTAGAGCTGGGCACTTGGGCCTGTCCTTGAGGTGAGGGGCCCAGCCTTCCTTTCCAACCGATGCGATGACTTCACTGTCAGACATCACAATGGGGTTTGAACTGACAGCACTTCTTAAGCCTGGGCCATCTCCTTCTGTGGCTCACCTGCTTCCTGGTTGGGATCCAAGGCCCCGCTGATCGCAAGGCTCTCGCTTCCAGAGGAATCAGCTGCAGAGGTGCTGGAGAAGCCCTCCGACTGGACACGGGGATACCAGTGTCCTTCTCGCGGTCATTCCTTTGTCCTGTGTGGCTTGGCTGGGGAAGAAAGCTCTCTTGATGGGGAGGATTGGCAGACAGCCTGGCTAGAGAAAGGGGGGCAAGGCAGATCCTGTAAAAGCGAAGGCTCAAGCAAAGGCATGTGATGCACAGCTCAGCGGCCCTGCCGGTCCTCAGCGAAACCTGTTTGGCATAAAAGGAAAGCTAGAATAAGATTTAAGAGTGTGACTTAAGGCTTTATGTAACGGGTTTAAAATGCTTATTAGATATGGACTGATTTATGGCTTAAGATAGTTAAATAAGATGTTAGATTGAATAAAAACTAATTAAAGGTTTGAATTTAATAATAAGAGGTTTGTTTATGTATTCATATGTTTTGATATAGTAATTTTGGGAGGAGGTTAAAGGAATTTGATATTGATAGATTATAAAGTATAATAGAAATAGAAAGGTATTTTTTTTATTTTTTTCTTGGTTTGGTCTTTGTTTCTTACTTTTTGTTCTTTTTTGGTTCTTTTCTGTTTTGAACTAATATTTTTTTTAATTAAAAACTAGCTGTACCCAGCCACGCGTTGCTGTGGCTCAGTCTGGTAAAAGCGTGTGTTGCTTTTACGTCCAACAGATGGCGATGTTTTGCAAAAAAGTGTGTTTTTACCTGTCACAGGTGTGACATCTATCTAATATAGGTATATAAAAACACGTGCGTATTCGAATGCAACGTTGTGTCAAAATTTCAAAGCAATCGGTGAAGAACTTTCGGAGATTTAAGATTTTGAACAAACGAGCATTTACATTTTTATTTATATAGATGATGATGGCTACTTTGTAATGGGAGAAGAATAAGATAAAAGAAGAAACGATGCGAATAAATGTTTATTGAATATGTTAAGGAAAAATGCAATGGGGAGACACCCGAAGTGTTAATTATGCATTTGGATTAGAAACATGGAATATAGCATTTGAAATAGTTAAGCTCAACACAGGATTTGGATTTGTGGATTTATTTTGATGAAAGGTTATTGGGGATTGTTACGACTGACTTAGTTGCATTGAAATATATTAATTTGAATATAATATGAAAGCCGGTCAAGCTGAGCAACAAACAATCCAGAGGCTCCAGCTTTGCAGTAATGCTGACTACGGAGCTCCTGTGTCAGCCGTGACCTCTGGGGGGGACCAGTTTCCCAGGAGTGGCCTTGATAGAGGCGTCTTCAGTGGGAGGAACAAACTCCTCTGGATGGGACCGCAGAGGCTACATTGCAGCACAAGGCTGTGTGTGCGTGTGTGTATGTGCCTGAGGTTGGAAAAACCCTTGTCTTGACCATTTCCTTATTCCCCATTTGAATACAGGCCTCAGCCCCGTAGTGGAAACTCGGTGTTTCTCTTAAGAAGAAGATCAGGGGCTACGCGTGGCGGTGGACCTCCTGCCCAGCCCTCGGGAGCTGGCGGGACGGTTCTCCAGAGACACGGTTCTCCAGGCGGCTGCCATGTGCCCGAATCTCAGCCTGGCTCCATCTATACAGTTCTTTTTTTGGCTCTCTCCTCGCCCCCACCGCCCCCAGGGCTTGGGCTGCCCCCACCCAGGGATGCCAGCCGCAGAGGAACAGGTGCGCCTGTCTCTGGATTTATCTGTTGCAGCCCCCTCCTCTCAAAAGCGAGGGGGGTGGAGGGTCCTGTGGGTCTGCAGCCAATTTTCACAGCTTTTGCACAAACTTTCTAGCCAGGGGTGTGAACCAGCTCCTGCCCCACATCTTTAGGGAAAGGAAAGGACTGATGGTTGGGGGAGGGTCTCTGTCATTCATTCTTTGATCCCCAACCAAGAGCTCCGGGCTGCTTGAGACCTCCGGAGCGTCCTGCCCACCTTCTCCAGAACATCCTTCCGCCTTGAGAGGGTGACGATGGCCTGAAAGGGGATCCCCAAACACCACGCTGCTCAGAAGAAGAACTTGAGGTTCACCACTAGGTAAGAAGACTCCAGCCTCGGACCATTTTGCGACCCATAAGCAGACAAATCCTTTCCTGACCAGATCTCATCCCTTCTTGGGGAGAGCAGATGGGGAGGTTGGGTCCGGGGGTGGGTGGGTGGGTCAGTGGCAGGAAGGAGAGCTGCAGTCACACACAAAAACGGGCATCAGAGGATTGTGCGCCCTGCTGGCCTGCACTCTCCCCCCCCCCCCGTGACCATGGGAAGAAGAGGTTTCCCCCCCCAGCTTCTCCATTGAAATGGTTTCTGTTTCAAAAGTTTTAAATCCCATTGGCGTCTTCTCACTGTCTCACTGGGGGAGAGAATCTACCTGAGGCTGGGCGCTCCCCTCCTTTCATCGCGTGACCCAGATGCCCAGAAACACACGCCCAGAGCAGGAAGGCACCAAGGGGAAAAAAAAAAACCCTGCTGGAGCTCCTGAGAGCATTCACTTCCTCATGTGTATTCTGCACACACCTATCCGCATATGTGCAAATATGCGGAGAGGGCTTAGCCTAAAATACCCCCCCCCATTCCGCTTAGGGGATCCGAAATAGCAAGGCCTATTTACAGCCTTTGCCTCGGTTGCTGCCTGTGGGGGAGGGATCGGGTTGCAGGGCCTGCCGCCGCTGCCAAAGGTCCTTTTCTCTCCCTTCCACAAAATGCCCATAGCCGGAACACCGAGGAAGACGCACGGTGCCCACGCAGGAGGCTGGCCGAAGCGCTGTCCAGAGAAGGGCTAGGATCGATCACGCACTGCCTCCGCCCGCTGCTCTCTCTGATGTCCTGGATGAAAGAGGCAGGTGCAGGACCAGGTGTGGGGAAGGCCTTCCTTGCAATCGGGGTCTATTCCAGAGGCCAGGAGCGGTGAGGGTGAGCAGCTTCCCTCCAAGGCTGTATGGATTGGCGTGGGGGACCCCCTTCCTTGCCAAGGCTGCCACACCTCCGGGGCAGAGCCTTCCTCTTAAAAACTCTCTTCATCCTCCTGTGCTGCAGATACGGTAAGAGAAGGCGGGAGGGGTGGGGTCTTTGCCACTCCTGGGGGGGGTCTTTGTTCCAGGAGGCACATGGGTGCCTGGCCCTGTGCACTCACCCCAGCTGTTTTTTTGCTCCGCACAGTGCAAGCCCGCTGCAGGATCCTGCGCTGCAACTCGGAGTATGTGGCCTCCACCCTCCCCCTGCGGGGTCCTGGCAGGAGGGCAGCCCACTGCCTGGCCTTGCGCGCCTACGCCCGCTGCACCCGCCACACAGCCCGCGCCTGCCGCGGGGACCTGGCCTTCCACCTGGCCGTCCATGGCATTGAGGACCTCATGGCCCAGCACAACTGCTCCAAGGAGGGGCCCAGCCCGGCGCCCCGTCCCCCCCGTCCCCCCGGGGCTGGGTCCCCAGACTTCTGTGACTATGAGAAGGCCTTTGCCCACAAGCGCGGCAGACCACCCGCCTACCAGCACTGCGCTTCCTTCGGGGACCCCCACATCCGGACCTTCACGGACGAATTCCACACCTGCCGTGTGGAGGGCTCCTGGCCACTGCTTGACAACCACTACTTATTTGCCCAAGCCACCAACAGCCCCGTGGCCAAAGGATCGAATGCTACAGCCATGAGCAAGGTGACCTGGGGGGCTGCTGCTGCTGCTCTGGAAGGGGTGGGGTGGGAGAAGGGGGGACCTGGAGGCTGGAGGGAACTGCCCGAGGGACTTTGGGGCTTGGGGCTGCCATCTGAAAATTCTTCAAGCAGCTGAGTTGGGAGACCCTCGGGGTAACGTCCAGGAGTCCCAAGGGTGGAGATGGATGTCCAGGGATCGAGGCCTTTGGCACAAGCTGGAGGGGTGGAGGGAAGCCCCCTCTCTGCTCAGCCAAATACAGCTCCTCCTGACTCCAGGGAAGGGGTGCCCTGGGCCGTCTTCTCCTCCTCCTCCTGCTACTGCTGACCTTCCCCCCTTTTCCAGATCACCATCATCTTCAAGAACATGAAGGAGTGCATTGACCAGAAAGTCTACCAAGCCGAGGCAGACAACCTCCCAGCGGCATTTGTGGATGGCTCCGTGAACGGGGGGGAGCGGCCCGGTGGGCACAGCCTCAACATCCTTGCGCGGGCTCCCGGGCAGCACGTGGAGATCCGGGCGGCCTACATTGGCACCATCATTGCGGTACGCCGGACAGGGAAGCAGCTCTCCTTCTCCATCCGTGTGGCCGAGGAGGTGGCCAGCGCCTTCACCGCGGAGCAGGACCTGCAGCTGTGTGTGGGCGGCTGTCCTCCCAGCCAGCGCATCTCCCGGCAGCATGGCTGCTGCAGCCACGGCACCGTCACCGCCGAGAAGGCCCACCGGCTGTGCAAGGAGACGCTGCCGGTGGAGGACGTCTACTTCCACTCGTGCGTCTTCGATGTGGTGGCCTCGGGGGACAGCAACTTCACCCTCGCAGCACATGGCGCCTTGGAGGACGCTCGGCGCTTCCATCCAGATGCCAAGAAGCTTCACCTCCTCCGGCGTGACGCTGCCCGCCAGGCCACCGCCGGCTCCATCCTCTGCCTCACCCTGGCAGTGATCCTGGGGCTTGTCTGGGAGATCTGAACTCTGCCAGCATTGGCAGCACCTGGAGTGCCTTCCTACGGAGGTGCCAGATACGAAGGCGGGGGGGGCTCCCTGGGGCGAACCCGCCGCTCAGAGCGGTCCTGCTGGGCAATTCCTGCGCCAACTGAGATTGCTGGGCGGCTGGTGATATCCGTGGTTTAAAAAAAAGAAAAAATGCTTAATAGGTGAAGTGGGAGACTTTGAAGAGAAGGGCTTGATGCAGCCTCTGCTGTCTGCTGCAGATGTTTTTACCTGGAGGCAGAGAGGGGAAGCCTGGAAACAGGGGCCTGCTTCTTTCCCCCTAGCCTCCCCCCCTGAGTGGGGGGCAGCATCGGAAAACGTGTCCAGGCTCAGGCTTTCTTCCGTCACCAGGACTTTTGGCCCCTGGCGGCGGCGGGGGGGGGGCGAAGTAAGAACAAAGGACTGAAATTCAACAAGGGCCTTTACCTGCATGTGAGAATACAGTCAGGGAGACCAGGTCACCCTTAGCCAGCCTCTGGCCCCCACCCCACCCCACCCCCACTCTGGCCTGTGCAGCTTCCCCTGCCGAGCGGCTTTTCCATTCTCACGCTGCCGAGCTCTGTTAATCTGCCACTCATGCTCCTCGGCATCTATTTCTGCAGAAACTGCCCCCCCCGCAACCCCCCAGGCCCTGTCATTTGTTTCTCATGCAGCTTTGCTGCTTCTCAACAGGTGAAGCTCAAAATAACGGGAGCGGCCTTCCCCCAGCATTGCAGAGACCAAGCCTGGTGTGTGTGTTTGTGTGTTTGTGTGTGGGGGGGGAGTCACACTGATCCTGCCCCCTCCCAGTCCCTAGCTGGGGCCCGGACTGTTGCGCCCTCTGGTGGCAACTGACTGAGAAGCTGCATCTGGCTGGAAGGATGGATTCAGTGAAATCTTGGGGAGAGCGGGCTGAGGAACTTTGGGGTTCCCAGCCTCCCCGCCCCCAAGAACGTGCAGGTCCCCCCCCCACCTCCCATCTGGCTCCTGGGAAGGGGCTTCTTCAGAAAGAGCAGCTGTGCCTCCGGCTGCCACTTGAGGTCAGCCAAACACTAAAATTTGCTGCTGGGATTCTGCTCAAGCTGGTCCCAACTTCTTCTCTGCTTTGGGTCCAGATTGCGAGAAGGAAGTCCGTTGGCTCGCTCATTCCCAGGCAGCCGTTTTCAAACCTTTGGGGTGAGTATGGATGCCATCAAATGGAGGGTAAAGCATATAAGGAACAGCTGCTGGAATTGGGTATGTCTAATCTAATGAAGAGAAGGACGAGGGGGGACATGATAGCAGCCTTCCAGTATCTCAGGGGCTGCCCCAAAGAAGAGGGAGTCAAGCTATTCTCCAAAGCGCCTGAAGGCAGGACAAGAAGCAACGGATGGAAACTCAAGGAGAAAAGCAACCTGGAACTAAGGAGAAACTTCCTGACAGTGAGAACAATCAACCAGTGGAACAACCTGCCTCCAGAAGCGGTGAATGCTCCAACACTGGAAGTTTTTAAGAAGAGACTGGACAGCCATTTGTCTGAAATGGTATAGGGTTTCCTGCCTGAGCAGGGGGTTGGACTAGATGACCTCCAAGGTCCCTTCCAACTTTACTATTATTATTATTATTATTATTATTATTATTATTATTATTATT